TCCCATGTTCCTAGCTTTGCTTTATTGCCCCACATCTCCACATGGGATATATAGTGCAGCTTCTGTGGGGAGGTTCCTATCCCAGTTATCACAAGTTGAAACTCTTCACATCCCTCTGATGTTTCAGAGTTTCTCAAAACTTAGGTAGGCCCCAATGAAATAATATAATAACCTTTTGTCCACCAACTGAAGACAAGTAAAATAAAACCAAAGCTAGAAGGGCTTCTTCTGTGTGTAATAACTATTTCCTGCCCTCCTTGTGGCCAGGTTAAATATGTTTCTTGGAATTTTCTTGTCTCAGTTTTCTGTCAGAGGAATACAATCTAACACCTTGGGTTTATTTATCATGTGGAGTCCTTAGTGAAGTATAATGGCCAGATGACATGAGTAAATTCATGTCCATGATGCCACATACATTTAGACAGAAGAGTACGGTGATTTGACCCAGTATTAAGAGTTGGTAAGTGAGAAAAAGGAATTGGTGATGTGGAATTTCTTTGGGAACAGAGCAAAGAGGTACAATGATTTCCAGAAAAGAGACTACAGAGACATGGTGACCACTGAGTTGCACTGTTCACTGGTTGTAAAATCCTAACGGCATTCCCTCAAAACTGCATAGAATTAGGTAACTTCTGTGTTCTGATCGTAAATGCTGCCTGAAGTAATATTTTACTGGACCGTAAATCATTCTGAATACATGTCATGCCTGATAAAATCCTTACATTTATGGTAGAAAATGTAAGCCCTTGTTCCATAACTAATCTTTTACGTTTTAAAAACAGAGAAATCTGGAATTTTTTTCTAGAAAAATGGCATGATTAAAAGACCATTCTTTGAAAATGGTCTAGCAGGGCGCCTGGGTGGCTCAGTTGGTTAAGCGACTGCCTTCGGCTCAGGTCATGATCCTGGAGTCCCGGGATCGAGTCCCACATCGGGCTCCCTGCTCAGCGGGGAGTCTGTTTCTCCCTCTGACCCTCCCCCCTCTCGTGCTCTCTCTTTCTCATTCTCTCTCTCAAATAAATAAATAAAATCTTAAAAAAAAATGGTCTAGCAAAACTAGGGATTTTGGCCAAACTAACCTGGGAATTAGTCTTGAGATACGTTTTATAACCAGATATACACCCATATATGCATATGTATGTACATATATATTTTAATATAATAAAAATCAGTATGTGTGTGTATGTATGTCTATTAATTTATCTCATTCTGGATTTCAAGAGGTATAAATACATTAGTTTAATGTTCCAATGGTGGCATAATTGTAGATACTGTGTAACACTGAAGAATGCTTTCTGACTTACAAGCTTAAACATAACATTATTGGCCATGTTGAAAATTAAATTAAGCTTTTTAAAAAAAAATTATTTATTTGAGAGAGCGAGAATGAGCAGGGGGAGGGGCAGAGGGAGAGGGAGAGAGAGAATCCCAGGCAGACTCCCTGCCAAGGATGGAACCTGACCCGGGGCTCAATCTCACAACCCTGAAATCACGACCTGAGTGGAAATCAAAAGTTGGATGCTAAACCAACTGAGTCACCCAGGCACCCCTAAGCTGTTCTTTATGGAAAACAGGAAGATATTATGGATACGATATGGGCTTTAGAGGTAGTTGTATCTGTGTCCAATGTTTAGTGCCGTGTCTTCTGAGTTTTGTAATCTTGCTTTAGGTCAGTTTTCATGATAGAGAGAGAGGCTCTGAGATGGAAGTTTTTATACAGGAAGTTTGTTGGGGAGTGTACATGGAATCAATATTATTGAAGGTGTTCCAGATAGACAAAAGGGGGCTTGGCCTATGTACTCCTTTACTGATGAGTCATTGGATGTAAGCTGCCTGTGGGAGAGGGAATAATCTGGGTGAGTCAGTGCCATTTGGTAGAAGAAGAAAAATCTCCAGAGAGGAAGTCAGCTGTGAGCCATCAGAAGCCAACACTTGAGGCAGCTGGGGAAATGACTCCCTTGTCCTGAAGGGGGATGTGGGTGATGACCTGCACCATCTACTGTGTCGACTTCTTGTGACATTTGGCTCTTCTTGCTTCCTATAATAAGTTTATTCCATCTGGGAGCAGCTTCTCCGGGATTCCTTAGTAGGTCACCTTTCTTCAGAAAACCTCCAACAGGAAGATTAGTGGGGACCACAGTCCCTGCTGATGCACCTAGTCTCAAGACCACAACAGTACTGATACTTACTATCTTCCTATTGTCTTCTCTCTTCTACTACCCATTCTAGAATTCCTTCTTCCTCTGCCAGCTCCTCTACTGATATATGTGGCTTACCTTGTAGGCTGGCATAGACCATTACTGAGGGGTCTGAACCTCTCCTCACCATTCCCTTCTTAGGTCATGGCTGTGGTACTTGTCTGTTTACTACCAAAAATAGGCAGGAAAATACTAGGAAATGCTCTGTGAACCACTTGGATATCAGAAATTCTTCCCTGCCCTCGTTGTAGGACGGCAGCTCTACTTCTTCCTAATGATCACTTAGCCTGCCAGTATGGGGACTTAATCTTAGTTACTTCTTTGATCAAGGCTGGTCAATTTGCCAAGTTAAAAAAAGAGAGAGAGAGAACACAGGCCAATTTGGAATATTTGGGTAAATAAATTATTTCAGTGATCTTAATTTTTCTCATTTATAAAGCTGAAAGTAAAAATACCTGTCTTGCAATTATGGGATTTAAAAACATGTCTGTAAAGTACTTGTATACGGTAGGTGCTCAGTCACTGATTATTAATACCGAAAAACTCCTGAACAATCACTGCTGATTTCCAGTGGGTCTCCATCCTTGCTTGTGGCCCTGGTTGTAGAGATCTGGCAAAGTGGAAGTAAGGCAGGCAGATAAGATGAATTAGGAGAGACCCAGTTCCCATTCTACCTGAGAGCTCACTTACTAAGATTTTTCAGTGATTGACATTGAATTTTACTTTGTTTTGTTGGCTTTCTTTTTGAAATAATATAATTTTTGTGTTTATTTTTGGGTGTCCTTAATTCTATCTTTTTATATTTTTCTGCTTATCAAAAAAATGCTTATTCACTTATAAACATTTCAAGCACTGAGAATTCATTAATCATGGTGGGGGGTGAGTTCCTTCTTTAACTTATTACTAAAAGACAATTACTTTAAGTATTTGGTATCTCTTCCCCTAGATTTTCTTCTATGCAAAATCAGATATTACATATATGTAAATAAATGTATACATTTAACAGAAGTAAGATCATATTAGACATACCGTTTCACAACTTGCTGTTTTAACTTAACAGTGTTTTATGGGCATTTTTCCAGGACACATAGTGTGAACCCTGCTTTTTAATAACTTTAATATCCTATTGTATTCTATTGTACCACAAAGTATTTAGTGGATCTTCAGGCTACTTCTATAGGTTTTCATTATTAACGCAATGCTGTAATGACTACTCGTATACTTCTAGCATAAATTCTAGAAATGTAACTGTTGGGTCAGAGGGCATGAAATATTCTAATCTTAATGAACAGTGCCAAATTCTCCTTCAAAAATATGGCATTGAATTTCACTCTGCACAGAGGTTTATTCCATTCTTGGGATAAGACTATAAGTTCTATCTTTTAGGAGTAAGTGTTACAGACAGTGCCTGTCTGCCAGGAAGCCGACTACACTTCACAGATACTGAAAAAAACTGGTTTTGGAAAAGAGAGACTGTCAGTGAATCAGTTCACCAATGTGCACTGATACCAATGAATGAAACGGAGGCTTTTGACATTGAACTCATAAATAGACTTTCAAGTCTGACAGACCTGATTTTAAGCCTTACTCTACTATTTATTAGCTGTGTGATGTTAGGTAAATTACTCAATATTCCTGAATCTTATAAAATTGATAGTAATATGACTTACCTCATGGGCCTTGGTATGAAGGTTAATTGAGAAACATAGGTAATTCACATACACCGGCATGTAATATACACGTATGTCCTCTATATGTCAGCCTGATTGTACCTTGCCTGCCCTATAGCAATTATTAGCTATTCTTATGATTATTATTATGCTTTTCCAGAATACATATCTGAGATCCCAACAGGATGTTTTTTTTCAGGGCTTTTTCTCTCACCTCCTCATTCCTCAAAGAGAACAATAACTAGAAAACATTGGTTGGGTAAATACTGCATTATCATAATTACAATTTCCCTGAGAAAAGTGGCTTGCAGTTTGAATATTCAGCATCATAATTACAATTTCCATAAGGAATGTAGAACAGTTATTATAAACAACACAATAATCACTTGGTCCGTAAGGGAGAATAGATTATTGGGGGAGCAAAGAGGGAAAAGAAGCAAAAGCCTATGTTCTAATCAGCATTCAAGAATAGAAATACAGAACCTGAGAGTAAATTGTAATAGCCTCTTAAAATACTCTTGTCTGAATTTATCAAAAACTCTTATCATGATGGCACATTTCCATGGGTTGATTAATTGCTGCCTATATATTTTCTTCTTATATGTAATTTAGTTTTATCATTTTTATTAAACATCCCCTCTGTACTTTTTCTCATTGTCATTGATAATTGCTTTGCCTCCCCCAATTTTTTTTTTTAAGATTTTATTTATTTGCGAGAGAGAGAATGAGAGACAGAGAGCATGAGAGGGAGGAGGGTCAGAGGGAGAAGCAGACTCCCTGCTGAGCAGGGAGTGGGACTCGATCCTGGGACCCCAGGATCATGACCTGAGCCGAAGGCAGTCGCTTAACCAACTGAGCCACCAAGGCACCCAGCCTCCCAAAATTTTAAAAAGCTAACTATCATGAAGTACAAAAAGCACAAAATATTTAAAAAAGAAACTATTTGGGGGAGAAAAAGTTTTATCAGTATTTCTCTCTTCACAGTTAAATGTGTTTCCTTTGTCAAGGGAAAATGGGTAAAAGGTTTTTTTTTTTTGTTTGTTTGTTTTTTAATGCTCTTTTTACTGTCATGTTGCCTTAATTGGGTTTCCCTTAAATGTTCTTTTTTTTCTTGTCTTTTTAATTTTTTTAGGTGAGATGAGAAAAACAAAATGCAGCTTTCAAGGTTGGTACTTTTCATGATGTTTTAAAATGTCTCGTTAATATGAAACAGTATAAAAGAAGCAGAGCAAAATATGTCCTTAGCTTCTCACAGATAGTGATTAGAGGACATTATGTCTTTATTTTTCATATTCATAGATGGAAAAGTACAACAGATATTGTAACAGAATGCAATGTAACAATCAAGTATTACCCCTGATTAAATCTTTGCCAGAATTATAAAGTTGGAAATATTCAATATTTTTCTACCTCATCCATCCATTTATCCATTCACCCATGAATCCATTAATCCATCCACTCACCATTATATTTTTTCAGTGAATACTTATTACTTACATATTGCACATAAGCTCACCTTCACCATATTCTCAATTCCACACCTTCTTCCAACCCTTCTCACTGTTTCTGGCAATAAACTTTCACCTCTTATCACAGGTCTTCAATTTAGCTTGCTGTATTTGATAAAGAAGCAGTGTTTCCACAATATTGCTCAGTTAATAGGTGTTCAGATATGTCTCTTCCCAAATAACTGGGGCAAAAAGGAAATCATCAGTGTGATAATAAGGAATCCTCCTCTTTACATAATGATACATTGTGTAATGTCCTTCACTGTTTTGTGATTATTATATATAACTATCATATAGTTTAGAAGTATATCTATATACAGTAGTCTATAATATCAGCTATCCTTCATCAGAATTCTAGTGTATAGTTCTTCTTTTTATCTTGTTAGCAATCTTAAGACTCTGACCAAGAGGGGCGCCTGGGTGGCTCAGTTGATTAAGCGACTGCCTTCGGCTCAGGTCATGATCCTGGAGTCCCGGGATCGAGTCCCATATCAGGCTCCCTGCTCAGCAGGGGGCCTGCTTTTCCCTCTGACCCTCCTCCCTCTCGTGCTCTCTGTCTCTCATTCTCTCTCTCAAATAAATAAATAAAAATCTTTAAAAAAAAAAAAAAAGACTCTGACCAAGAACAGGTGTGTTACACTATAAATTTAAAAATGAACAAAGCAGTCCAGATGCACATGAATGGCTCTTTGTAGGAACAGCAGTGGTGGATTGAAGCAAACTTCATGAGAAGCAGAGGCTGAAAATTTTCTGCTGAGCAAGTGTTAGTGAATGGAAATTTGATAGTAGAATACTCCTTATACTAAGATGGATAAATATTGTTTTAACTTGGAGGGCTGTTTTATTGTTTCATTTTAATGAACATTAGTATACTTATTTTACTTTTTAAATATTTATTTATTTTCAGAATACTTTAAAAAGGCTTTCTCAATTATTCCTTTACTATCTTTGATTTCCCCTAACTCATTTTTTTTAAAATAAGGTCCCAAGGTCCTCAATAGGAAATTCTGCTATCAGAGGTGCTTTCAGAAACTTAACTGTGATAATTGGGAAGGGACTCCAGTGTCTGTCTGCTGATCTAATTTAATTAACTAACCTAAATTAAAATAGTCTAAATTATCTCAGCCATCAATCTATTTAATTATAATACTTACTGGGAGGCAGTGAATAGTGGCTGAGAAGTTAGGCTCTAGAATCAGATTGCCTGAGTTTGAATCCTGTTTACTCATCTACTATTTGTGTTTTGGGTGAACTTATTAGCATCTCTACTACTTGATTTCCCTAGTTGTAAAATGAGAGAAAAAAAGAGTCCTTACCTCATAAGGTTTGTTGGGGAATAAATGAGATGATGTATTTACAAATCACGTTGGCATGTTGTAAGAAGGCAGTAAATGATAGTTGCCATTATTACTTTGTTTCATGACTGTTATTGTAAAACATTATTAGAGGCAGGCAGCATCTTCTCTGAATTAAACTTCTCTCATGGACTTGATCTTTCATCACCATCACAGATGTATTCATTATATGGTCAGTTTTGTTCCATGTGAAAATATGGATAACCTGGGATTGCCCATCAAACAGTGACATCTTGTTGTAACAAACTGCATCTGCTTTTTTTCTAAATATAAGATTTTGATAAATATCACCAAGGTGAGGGAAATAAGCAATCTGAAGTGGTTGCTGTGGGGAGAAGAGAAACTATAGTAGCAAGGAAGGAGTCAGTGCTTCTAAAGGAGAGGTTTGGTGCCAACTTTTAAATCTTGCTCATCCAGAAACTAGCATTGTCTGTGCTTTTGTGTGCAGAGAGTCCCTTCATTCATGACGATGTGAGGCCTGACGGACAGACGAGAGGCTGCACATGGGTGGGAGAGAGAAAACATTGAGGAAAGGTTGGAAATTATTCTTCCACAGCAATAAAAGTGTTAGGACATCTGAAGGGAACAGTGGAAGAGCGATATAAAGGGATGATGGAACTAAAGCCCCCTCCTCTTGGCGAGATCTGTAGTTTTGTGTGTATGTATTGTCCATGTGAATCAAAGCAGATGAGGAAAGTCAGCCTTCCCTCAACTAGACCAGCCAGTGACCTCACACCAGGTGACCCATATACAAGCTTCATCCAACAGCAGCCTCTTGGTCCTGGAGCTCATGGTGAACCCAAAAGCAAGAGGTCTGAGTGAAAAGATCCCACCTTGTTCAGTCTCTCTGAGAGAGGCAACAGACACTCCAAAGTCCACTAGACTGATGCCATAAGGAAGAGAAATTTGCCAGCTTCACAGATAAGCCCCTGAATTCATTTTGACACATATTCTGGCAAATATGTAAACATGTTAAACTTAGACTTTCTATAGGGAAAGACCCCTTTCCGATCCATTGGAGAAAATGACATTTCCAATTCAGTCTCATAGAAATTCACCAAACAACGTTGGGTAGTACTAGAAATTCTTAATCTGGCCTCTGAGCTAGCAAGATTCAAAACTGAATTTATACATAAACATACTTGTTTATGGGGGGGAGTACAACTCTGCACAAGGGTTCTCATCTGTTAGGGTTTGAAACATTACTGGCTGAAATGAAATTATGGTCCCTACATTGGATTCCACGGATAAATGGTAAAACTTAATTACCTCCAATCTTGGGAAAGTACAGTAGTTAAGGAGAAATAAATAGAAAAAAAAATTATTGATGACTCCAGAACCACCTCCAGGAAATCCTTAAATATCTGATGGAAGCACTCCTCTTTTGAACCTGCTCTGACAGCCAGTCTATCCCTACAATATCCCATGGACACTCTGTCACTTATATACACTGTAGGTGGGCTTTTTTGATGGCTCACTTTAGGCCCTATAGGTATACACATGCCCTTCTTGTGAAAAAGAGTCACAGTTACAGACTTTTAGGTCTAAAAAAATACTTCAACTGTTATTCATTTTAGTCTTCTCTTTTTTCCCTTCAGATAATGAAATTCAGGCCCACAAAGGTTAAGCAACTGTTTTAAGTCATTCATCTCACTAGTGACAAAATAGGAACTACAAGCATATCGTTTAACTCCTTCTTTACCATGGGCCATCCCAGACTTCTTGATAAAGAAGATAGGAAGATCTTTTGTTTGGGGTAGAAACTATTTCTGAAACACTACATTTGATACCATCCTGTTGACTAAAACTGTTATTTCTCTCTTCTACTGTTAGGTACTTCTCAATTCATCCTACTTCCCTGACTATATCATGAGTTCCATAAGGATAAAGCTTATGGCTACTATTTCTTTGTATTTTTACCATATTTATAAGGTTCTAAATAAATATCATGCAGTTTATTTTGATTCTAAACCTTGTCAAGAACACTGACCCCCCACCTCTCTTCCAGCTCACTGAATTCCACTGACATTTGTAGAAGACCCAGAAAAAAAAATCATATTCCTTGAAGGTGACCAGAGAACAAACATACTGTTGGGTTTTGGGTTGAATTCTCTTTTGTTCTGTTTCTGCCAACTCTGCTACAGGAATGGAGAAATAATAAATAGATCAAAATCAACTCATTGCCATATATATTAGAATATGAGTGGGGGTGATCAAAAAGTATCATTTAAACATTCAGCTGGGATAACTTGGATTTAATGATTTGCAACCTAAACTATCAGAATTATCAGGGAAGAAAGAGAAGACCAACTGAAAATATGAATGCATGTTTATCTCATTAGCAAATAGCAAGGAGGGTCCAGAAGCTAAATATTAAGAATGGACTCAATTTTTTTTAAAATACAGATGAAATGCTACAAATAAAAAAAAAACTAATTTCCTTTTTATTACAAATTCTGAATCTAATTTCCTTTTGTCCTTCCTGTGTATTTGAAAATAGGATGTAGCGCTTATTTCCCTGTCAGGGATGTCTAATATTTTCACCCTGGAAGTGTTGTGTTTGGATTTGAGCACCACAAAAGCAGAAGGCTGTAAATTACCTATTTTGCCCCAAGTCTGTATGAATGTCATTCAAAGAAACACAGATCCGATGATGGTTATTAATTAAAGTGAAATTCCAGTGTTCATTTGGCTCTTTCAAAGATGACTTAGGGTGATCAGATTTATAAACCACAGCAACCATTTTCATAATTCCCTTCCTCAATCTGTGCTTTCACAATGCAATGATTCAAATCTTATCACATATCAGACCATTAAATTCCCCTTAAGCACCAGTTCTTGCAGTTTTTGTTTTGTATCTCTCACTCTCCTTTCCCCCCACCCCCCGCCCACATTTTGTCCTGTAGTTTGACCTAGTCTTTCTGCCTAAAACCTCTGTCTGTCCCTCTCACCTTTCTGATTTGATCTTGGCATATACTCCACGTTTTCCAATGAGAGAAATTAAGCTAAGGCAGCCTAAAGCTTATCATTATTGGCTTGACAGTGCTTTCCAAGGAACTTAACATACCAAATAAACAAGCCCAATTAGTCAAAAAGACATTTGTTTAGAATTTGAATCTTGGGAATTAGCAGACTGTAGCAATGCTAAGCATATTCAAATGTTAGCAAATCTTGTCCTAGCCATATATATTCTGTATATGAATACAAAATACATACACAGTACATGTATATGTGTATACATGCCCAGCAACGAAGATGGGGATGGATGCAAATAGTGCTGTTAGGCGAAGACAGCATGCATA